AATATAGACGTAGACATTAAGTAAATGACTTGTTTACATTGGGATCAGCGAAATTATACAACCATAGTTCACCTCATTTTGTACAGTAATTAAATATTTTTTTTGTGAAAGTAATTGAACAGCGTAACAGTACAGATGAAAACACATTAATGTATTACTAGAAAAATGTGATAATATTGGATTATAATGTAATAATATTGCAAAACAGTCGTATTACGTTTACGTTTTAAAATTTGAACATGAGCGTAATTATAATGAAAGAAATGTTTCTATGAATTACAGACATATTTTCGAAAGATCGTAAACTTTAAAAATTTTTCGAAATATAACAGGCAGTGTAACGTCTAATATGTATGCCTGTAAAATTGATATCCACATAACGTATTTTGTATTTCGTGTATTTTGTACCATCTGTACATATTTTGTAAAGACATTTAGTGCAAGATTATATACTATAAAATGCAAATATTATAACCATTCTGTTATCGTTATTTCAAAATGTATTACATTAGGACCAATTATCAGTTCGTTAGAGTGTTAGGTATCATATACCTACTGTAATAGATGCGCGAATTTGTTTGTGATTTAAAGGTATTAATCTCCTTTTGAAACAAAAAATGAATCGTTCAATGTTAAAAATATCGATATCTTTTTATGTATTATATTACATTTAGGTAAAGAAATCTATGTTCTTTGATTCATGGCACTTCACATTCCATCGTAAATAATTGTAATAATAATTTTCGCAGAGTCCATTACCTCTCCTATTCATTCTTACAGTAAGGCCACTGTTTAGCCATTTTATAAATTAAAGAATAAATCGAATAGTAACATTGATACGATACGATTACGAAAAAGAAATGCATAAAATACTATCTCGTGGAAGTAACGTATTTTTGAAAACAACTTAAGTGCGGAAAAAGAATTAGAAGTCTAAGCGTAATTTGCGAGAGTACATACAATAAATTAGTAGAACTATTGAAATCTTAGAATGCAAGTACTAATCGCATGTGTGTGGCCATATTATTCACATAAGAAACGCTTTAAGTGTTCTTAGACCCATTCACAGACTGTTTTCTTCAATTACACTAGTTTTAATGACACATGAAACGTATTATATGTTTGTAGTACCATTTAGTTAAAGCGATCATAAACAACTGAAGAAATAAAAGGAGTTTAAATTCTGAAATTTACTCCGAAAGATTCATCTAAACCGAATCAAAATCAATCACACGTATACCATCGTGCACGATGTTAAAAAACTCTGAGGCTAGTTTGATATTCGCATTAATTTGATGTTTTCAATTGTTTTAAAATCTGTTGGGTAATCAGTTTAGTAGCCTCACTTGCATTAGGAATTAAAAACTTATCCATATCTGAAATTACCGTATCGTTATATTGTGTCGTACCGTACTTGAACGTGATTAGATCCGAGTGCCTCTTTCTAGACGTTATTTTCACGATGCTTGTTAATGGACGTTTCACGATTACATGCGCTGCGCCTTTCCTCTCTTGTATTTCCCGAAGTACAATAAGATGAGTGTCGGTAACCAAAAGTATACTAGAAGAAGATCACTCAGTGATGGACAACGTTAACGTTAATATCTATTTTATTATGATAAATCAGTCACCTATCACAAAGATCTCCGTTCACTTTTACTTCTTGGCACTTAAAGGAATGTAACAATTTCGGATCTTTCATCCACTGTTGAATAGATACAACTTCGATAGGTTCTTCGCTTTCGTTGTTCGTCATTGTCATGTCTGGAAAATTGATACCGTTGTATACGGTCCCCAAAAAAATCAATACTCAGTTACTGTAATAGATATTACATACATATAAATAAAACTGGAACTTACCCAATTCCTGATCATCATCGATACTAAATACCGGGCCCATTTTCTTTTGGTACTTCGTAGGGTCCAAGCTTTTACCATTTCTGTTTTCCATATTGTTGTGAACACTTGCTGATGGATTAACAATATAATCGAACAACTTCCCCTTCACTTTCTTGATCTTCCCGAAAAAGTCAGAATTGTTATTCTTGATCTTGGCAGGACTTGTTTCATTAGAATTTGATTCCGATATATTAGCGCTGCACACTAAGCAATGTTGCGAATTATGATCCACGAGGCTAGAAACGACTTCGTCACCAAAGTACTCATGTATGGCTGAAATAAGACGGACTGATTAGTTTCCGTAGAATTTTAATTTCGAAGGAAATTATGTGCGAATACCTTGATATCCTGATGTAACCATACTGACATATTGGGTATGTTTTTGTAAAAAGGATGCGACTACCATATGCGTGTAACGATCTTCCTCTTGCCTACCACTCCCTAAAAAACAAAGATGTTCGCCACCGGCTTGCGATCCAACAGCCAAAGCTTGTCGTTGTGCTTGCAGTAATCCCTGTACTGCTGTCGCGAAGGCAGCAGGCTCTTGTAGCATCTAAAATATCATTTATGGATTTTAATAAATGGAACATCCCAATACATTAAAAGCAATATACGTACTAAATTACAGTCTAGATGAAATGCAGTTGGCAAGTGTCCTGCATTGTACTGTTCGGCTGGCCTACAGTCCACTAAAAAGAATCTTACAGACTCGACAGAGGTACTAGATACGGACGGAATTTCAATCGAATTCTCAACTAATTCTTGAGCCGAAACGGGTAAGCAAAGAGCGTGCGATATATATTTTTCATCGGAACCATCACCAAACATAATGGGATACAAATCCTGTTTGAAAGACGATGGTGTTTTCATTGCATAATATTGTGCCAACGAACAAAAGTCTGTCACATCTTCTGCTTCTAATGCGCAAGGCATAGCCGCGATCGCCTCTATTATACTTTGTTTATCGTTATCTTTCATGCTTAAAATTTGTTCCCTGTGGAAAAGTGTAGTATATACATATAGTATGTCCTATGAGAATATCATCTTGGAAAGGAATATACGTGTATAATACTCACCTAGCATTTATCACCATAATGAGAGAGAGAAACAACATAAAAAATGGATCAGCTTGCATGAAATATAGATCCCACATTGTACAAACAGCTGGTAATGAACATACGCCTGCAAACAGAGTGGTCACCCAGCCTTTTGTATATTGATCAGGGGACACTCTTTTTGTGTCCAGGAAAGAACATAATTCTGGTTCATGATAAAGTAATAATAGTCTTAAAACAGAACTGTACGTTTCACCTCTGTAAATATATGAAATTATATTATTATTCGTAAGATATAGCAATAGGAAATATTTCAAATAATTAAAGTAGTATCGTTTGAATAGAATACACCACAGTTATGAAATACTATACCTAGGAATATAAAACTCTATTATTGCTTCAAATAAATTATATGTTGCACTACGTGGAAGTTTTAAAGCTATTAAAGGACCTAATAACTCTATCCACCCATTTCCTCGTTTATACTCTTTCCCTTTGCTCTTACAATAAAATGTTAAAATAGATTCTACATCAGAAACAACAGAAACTTTGTCCTCATCATCATTTCCAAGTTTTCCTGCAAAATAAAATAAACTTTAATCGTTTCCTAATTATAGAGATAAATATGATATCTGTTTGCCTAGTGCAAATCATGAGTCATGCAATGTATATAAATTACTTACCAACCAGTTGTTGACAATCCTCACGTATAATATTTTGTTCTGATAAATCATAAACTTCATTAAATTGACTTAGCTGATTACCCAAATCAGTAACATCTAAACAAGCTTGCCATACAGCTGGTCTCAGATTTATAGGAACAGCCTGCCCTTTACAAATTGCATATATATCAGAAGCAGATGGTGTCTCTGTATCAAGCAAAGCTGCTTCTAATTCTAAAATCCTATAAAATCACTTTATATTATGGCAAAAGAATTATGTACTAACACACATATGTACATTCATTTACATTATGTTTTTCCTCAAATAAATATAGTACATATAACAATTGATATAACAATCAGCTAACAAACATCTGTACATTACAGAAAAGTATAGGGAAGGTTATACATTTTTTATATTAATCACTTGTTTGTCACGAGTTAAAACAAATTATTCTGCATCAAAGTGATTCATACAGTTTGAATATAATCTTATGATAAGTCGATTATTTTTAGTTAACTTTTTTAACATTCAAGCGTTAGTGATAGGAAAATAACAAGAGAAATTGAAATGAAATATATTCCAAGAAGTTACAAATGTTCTGTCATCAAAACGAACAATCAGAACACAAGTTCTTGAAAACACAATACCATTTTGTTTAAGGAATTGTAATGAAATTTGAAAATTAACTCACCAGGTGTTTTCATCTTGTAGTGCCATTTTGGTAAACGTCACAATCGTATCGTGATACGTGAACTCGTGAACCTGATATATGTTACAATTCTCTACAACGTAATAAAATTTGTCGATCACTTAGCATTATGCGTTGATTTTCATAACCTTTGCAATTACATTTCTCATCGTTCGTATCTTCTTTAAAATTCAACCATCTATAGACAACGCAAACAGAAACTCGCCCTTGTTGACAGACTGTTGCCATCTTTCAGTTCAGATAACATCTCGATTCTCGAACTCATTTTCAGACGTACAATCGACCTCAAAGATTTTGGCAGAACTAACTTCACGTTACTGTATGTATGTATTAGAGTGAGAACAAAATAAATCTATATTTGTAGGACGAATTTCGCTGAATGCGGTTTCTCTCCATTCGAATTGCAACATATCACAAAAGATTACTGCATCATCTTTCAGTGTCGTATGTGTATGTATA